CACACCCGAGGAGATCGAGAAGCTCCGGCAGATCATTTGGAAGAAACAACACCTCCTGATCCGTAAAGGGAACGCCCTACCGCCGGCGACCAGGGGCGTCGTGTGTGAGATCGATGTCGGGAACGCGAAACCGATCGCGTTACGATCCCGGAATTCCGTGAAAAAGTCGCAGGCTTGATCAAGGGCCTCCTGGCAGCCGAGATCATCCGACCCTCGACATCGCCATGGGCCTCACCGATCGTGATTGTCCGCAAGAGTAACGGCGTGGATATCAGGTTGTGCATTGACTACAAGTTTGGTAAACAGCCTCACGAGATTGATGGTCTATCCTATGCCTCTGATCAGCGATCTGCTAGAAGATCTTGATAAAGCACTATGGTACTGCTCGTTAGACATGGCCAGCGGTTTCTGGGTCGTGCCAATGACGGATCGGGCTCGCGAGATCTCAGCGTTTATCACCCCGTTTGGATTATTCGAATGTAGCCGCATGCCATTTGGTTTAAAGAATGCCCCGCAGATTTACCAACGACTCGTAGACAACGCGCTGTATGGATTTCTGAAGATCTCCCCATCCGGCGACGTTGAGTCCACAACGGACGTGTTCCAGACAGGGACCGCGGACGATCCTGATCGAGAGTCGGTGTTAGAGCGAAGATCATACATCGACGATATCATGATCGCAGCGGAATCGTGGGATCAAATGTGCCGAAGAGTAGAGGATCTGTTGGAAGCCTGTGATAAGTGGAATCTGTCGATCAGTATGGCTAAGAGCTTTTGGGGCATGGATAAGGTAGGATATTCGGGGCACCGAGTGTCGATCGGAGGTTTGGGGGCGAGTCCGAGAGTCCGAAGGATCTGAAATCGTTGACCGATCTGCCATTCCCCGGATCACTGCGATCTGTGCAGTCATTCCTGGGCAGCTTGAATTACTCAGCCGATTCATCGAAGATTACGCTATCTATGCCTCGGTATTCTACGAATTACGTGAAGTGGAGTTTGCAAAACTGGAGAAACAATCGGATCTAAACCGGATCTTGGACCGGAATGACCCGATCTCTCGAGCTCACGACCCACCGGAAGTGAAGTTGACGAGACCAGTGGACGAGAGGTGGATCAGGGCCCATAGGGCCTTCATCGCACTGAAAACCAAGATCGCAACGACCCCGGTCCTCCGCCACTTCGACGAGACGAGAATGCCGATAGTCATCGTATACGCCAGTGATTGGGCGATATCCGCTTCATTGACGCAAGAACACGACGGGATCTACCATCCGGTGGCGTTCGCCAGTCGCACCTTGAAGATGAACGAGTTGAATTACAATGTTTCTGAAAAGGAGGTGTTGGCACTGTTGAGGATCTTGGATCTCTATTATAATTTGCTAGTAGGACGCGAGATCCGGGTCCTGACGAGGCATTCTACGTTAGCCTGCCTGTTCAAGTCTTCGGGATTACAGGGTCGCCTGGACCAATGGTCTGCCCTCCTGGCCCCATGGATACTCGAGATCACGAAGTGCACAAAGGGTGAGGATGAGATACTGGGGGCGATCGCCGCTAGTATCACACCGAGGGCGAAGATCGACGACGCTCTGACCGATATCGTCCCTCGAAAGGACTCTAAACGCCGGATCCAAGCGCCGATACCCAGAGACGAGGAACTATGGGTGGTCAGCTTTGATGGATCCGCTCGAGTGAAGCGTGGTGGAGGTGCGTTCAGCGCGATCGTGTGGAGTCTGTCCGGATGGGAGGTGGCCATGACCAGATCAGGTTATCTCGAGAGTCTCACCGTGAATGAAGCAGAATATAACGGCCTGATCCTGGGGTTAGACATGCTCGAGGACCTAGATCGCAGACGCCTGGTGGTTTGTGGTGACTCCAACTTAGTGATCCGACAAGTACGGGGTGAGATCGATTGCAAAGCACCCGGACTAACGCTATTGAAGCGGAAAGCCCCCGAACGCCCGAGGGAATGGTGGGACCATGAGCTGGTACACGTCAAGAGGGACTGGAACAGAAGTGCCGACAGTCTAGCAAGCGCCGCGTTGCAACACCAAGGGGGGATCAAGGTCCAAGAGGGCCCCGAGTACCAGGATCTGGTCACCTTGAACCGGTTAGACGAAATCTTGATCCCCAAGATCGAGAATCCAGTGGTGCGAGTTGCTGCGGTTACCACTCGAGCTGGTCGAGCAAGATCACCGGCGGGTGTCATGGAAGAGGGTTTGATCCGCGAAATCCGAATCGATCGGATCAAGCGAGCCCAAGAGGAAGAAGTCTGGATCGCCGGCATGAAGAAGTATCTGAGTGGCTCGATCGCAGATCTCACCCAAGCGGAAGCTAGATCGTATGGCAAGACCGCGACCGACTACGAGGTGGACGAGCAGGATCTACTCTTTTACTGCCCCCGCGCCGAGATCGGGAGACGATCGAGACCGATTGATACTACAGTCGGACGTTTTACACCACTATCACACTACGTTGGAAGGAGGACACCAGGGAGTGCGGCGAACCTACCAGCGGATCAGGGATCACATTCATTGGAGGGGATTATACCGGAGCGTTCAGCGATATGTGGGGGAATGTGTGGATTGCGAGACAGGAAAAGGAAAATCGGTGATCCGGGGTGAATCGCCAGGAAACTTGCAGGCGACGTACCCGTTCCAGATTATTGCGATGGATCATATACCGTCGCTACCCAGATCCCACAAGGGGAACACTGAATTATTGATCTGGGTCGACTTGTTCACATGATATGTGATCGCGAAGGCTAGCTCGTCCCGATCGGCCCAGACGGTTGCGGAATCGTACGAAGAGTGTGTATTTCGGCGATTTGGTGCCAGTGAGATGATCTGACATGATCGAGAACCCGGCTTCGTGTCCGATTTCTTCCGTGCGTTTAACAAGATCTGGGGACAACGGCAGCGGGCGACGATAGCATATCGTCCACAGGCTAACGGGACTGCTGAGAGCATGGTGCAGACCGCGACCAGAGCGCTCAATATGTACGTCCGCGATCTTGATCAGAAGGATTGGGACGAATATGCTGAGCACCTCACCTTCGTGATCAACACGGCTCACGATCGGATCCGAGGAGATACCCCTCACTTTTTGTTACATGGGTGGGATCCGAGATCGACATTGGAGGCTACGTTGCCGGTCGGATGTACGAGACGGCGCGATCGAGATGCGCGGCGGTGGAGATACAGAGTCCAACGATACTATCAGCAATCCCGAGAGCAAGTCAACGCAAGATTGAAGGAGGTCATTGCAGATCGGGCCGACCGACACAACGAGGATGTCGGACCGCACCAGATCGAAGCCGGATCTCGCATCTGGTTATACCTAGATCGGGTGAAGGAAGGATACGCGCGGAAATTGGCCCACCTATGACACGGGCCGTTCCGGGTCGCCGAAAAGATCAACGAATTCAGCGTCAAGCTCGAGATCGCAGGTACAGGGTACCAGACCTTCCCAGTGGTACACGTGTCGAAGTTGAAATTGGTCAAGGACTTTCCAGATCGACCACGCGTGGAACTCACGGTTGATGAGGCGGACTGTCTCGATTTTGACGAGATCTTGCTTTCAGAGGACAGCTGGGTCCCAGATCAAGAGGCCGATGAGTACGAGGTGGAGCGAATTTCGGACGTGCGGAGTGGAAAGAAGACCCGATTCGGTCGGATCTATCGGGAATTCCTGGTTCATTGGACAGGATACGAAGAGCCAACCTGATTCGACGAGGCCGATCTCAACTGCGGGGCAGTATTGAACGCCTTCCTGCGAGGACGGGCCAATCGTAATCGTTTCAGTGTGATGCAACCACATGAAGCGATGTAAGGAGGACGGGGGAGGTTACCCGATCGCCTCGACCCCGAGGGAACATCGGTCAGAAGGACCGAGATCGGAAAATT